CACTTCCCACTAGTGGTACCCACACCTCTGTCACTAGCATAAAAAAATCGAACCGAAAAGGACATAATAATCTGTTGCAGGAGGCCACATACGATTCCTACTTGTTTCCGATATAAAGGATGCAAAGTGGCGATGCATACGATTATTGTGTCGGACGGCAGTACCACTGAAGTTTGCTGGTCTAGAAAATGCCCTCCAGGCAGACGTTTTAGGAGTTTATTTGGGTTACGTGACGGACAAAATTGGGAAAGACTATGCAACTTGCAGGAAGATGGCGGGATGCCACAACAAGGTGGGCGCGGTGTAGCAGGCCTTGATATGCAGATAAGCCGCCTTGTTGTCCTCGCTGGTTTGCGAGCTCTAATCCGCTTGGCGTTGATGGTGAGCTGCTGTTCCATGCGCGCTCGGGATTCTCCTCCATTGATTCGTTCCATGGCTGGCATCTCTACAGCAATGTTTAAACGACAGAGGAACGAAAAAATCGAACAAAAGGAAAAAAGCACGCGATCTGTCTGTTCGTAGAGAGCGAGTATTGCTTTGGGCTCCAAAACCTTACGAGAATCTCAAACACTAGTGAAGAGAAGAAATAGCGTGAATGCAGCAGGTCAGTTATCAGGTTCCATGCGTATGGTAACAACCAAACCAGATCCATGGGTTTGTTACAGGATTCCTTACAATTCAATGAGGACAGTTATGGGACAAGAAACGATGAAGGGACAAGGTGCGACGCTGAATATACAACTGCTGAAGGAATTTCTTAACAAAGAAGTTTGCGATGATTTCCCACTTGCCATGACTAAGATCATTCGAAGTGTCTTCATAGAGCCTGCCTACGAGCCACATCGGTCGCAATGCAAGGCTGCAGGCGTCAGCCGCCCCCAAATTCTTGGTGTCTAGCACAAGTTCTCGTCCGTCCAGCACAATTTCTCAGTCGAATATCAGTTAAGCGCATCACAATCTGAGTTATGGCTACGATTCCCAAACAACAGAACGATGTGTTGAAGGAGTCAGGTTGGTTTCTTTTTTCATGTAACCATGCAACATTGTCTTACTCAAACATTAACACTGCAACTTGTCCAGCGCTTAACCTCCCACCTTACAACAGGTTATCAGCCGTAGCTAACCTAACTGAGTTGAGGCAATTTTTCTTTATTTTCTGAGTAGGTCATCATCATCGGAGCCAAAATTCACATTAACCAAGTTGTATGGTACCAACCTTGCTACCTGGCGACTGGCCTGCCGCGCCATTTTGATAGAGAAAAATCTCTAGGACGTCATCACATGGGATCAGAGTCTACCGCCTGAACGTGTCCCAGAAGATTTGACGAGTCATTGGTGGAGCTTACTGACCCGCCACGTGATGCCAATTTGCGCGGCTGCTAATGACAACAGCTTACGAAAAACAAACAATTCCAAGATTTGATTTAAAGCTTTCCGATGAACGCGTTGCATTGTTCCCAGTTTTGATCAACTTTTGTATTTATAGTTGTCTGATTCCTCAGTGAAGAAATTCATATGGATTTGCTGGATTGGGTGCAAGTTCACCATCAAAGGAGATTGTATTTAGAAGTGCAGACGATGGAATCAAACAGAAGAAAACATCTACGCTACTCTTCGTGATGATACAAGCGGGGGGTCTAGACGGTGGTTCGATCAGAACATCTCATTGTACTACTTAAAGATCTGATTTCTGCCACTCTGTTGCAAGTTTGGATTATAGCTCCTAACCACTGCTGGTATATCATGAAGCACCTCAAAAGCAAGAAACCAACATTGAAGACAATCTTGGACCATTACAAAGAATTTTGGGACTTTGTTGGAATCATAATCAGTTTTGCGGATGCCACTTATTTGGATGTCCGGACTGATTTGAAGAATATCATGTTTCTTCCAGAAACTAAAAAATTCGTCTTATCTGGATTCATTTGGAACTCCGCCTTTTTTCTGCGTGGACGGTCGGTATCCTACAGTACTTAAGCCAAGAAGATTCTTTTTGTGCCAAGTTCTCACAGTCCTCTGGTCTTTAAAGCAAGGAATAGAAGAAAGAAGGATAAAAAAGTGTCGAAAATGTTGAGCATAAGACAACCATTATTCACAGATCAGTTCGATGGTATTAACAATGTGGATTCAATGCTGCTGGCAAGATATATTGAAGCCGTAACAAATGTGGTTCTCAAATTTTCTACATCTGTGTTCTCAGCTCCAGAAGATTCGTCTTATGATGAAGTTCGACGTCATTGTTGCTGAGCATTCTGTATTTCAAAAGGGGCAGAAATGTTCTAGTCACCCTCGCTAGCCATCATCCTTGTGTACACCAAGTGTTGGTCGCTGGATATTTTCTTTATGGTTTGCTAGCGTTATTGCAACAAGCAAGCAAGAAAAGAGAAAAAACAACTAGAAACAATGTATAAGAGGTGGGTGACCTGGACCGTCGTCCACGAGCTAGACACGCATCTTGGAAGTCTCTCGCCCTCTCTTGTTGTCATGGTTCGGACTTGGCGTTCGAGTGGCACCAATGAGGTTTCTCCCGCAGACAATCATTTCATTAGAAGAAGATGAACGCAAATGAAGGACAAAAAAATGGCGGTGCTTTTTGTTTGTATCCAAGTGCGAAAACTGACCAGATGCAAATCCATTCATACGGCGCAATACGTGCGCGTTTGGTGTCTGCATGGACGAGACCTATTGCTACACTGCACACACACTCTTAGCTTTCGGAACACCCAAATCGTTGAGCCATGATTTTGTGTCTCTTCACTCGAAGCAACCAACAAACCCACTGATGATAAAACTAGGCCGAAAAATAAATAAAAAATCCAAAAACGAATCACAAAATCAGAACCAGCAGTTTTTCAGCATCCAACGCATGCCAATGCTCGAGTTTTTCGGTGCAGAAGTCTCTCTGATTGGAGGAACCAAGTGAGCCGCTAGAGTCTTTTGGCTGGGTTCATCACCCGGTGCAGCGCAGTGTTTCTTCTGTTGCCGGCAAAACCAGAACGAAGCAGAAGACGCTACTGAAACTTTAGTCACACAAAATTTTCAAATATGTGATACACACTTATGAAAGAGGAATCATTGTTATGATGAATGGCGCCATGGAATTATTTCTTTTATAGTTTTCTGAAAGTTCTCAACTATTGAAAGCAGTCCATCAAATAATGGTTTCTACAACAAACGATTTGCTTCAGGATCGCCTTGGTGAAGAGTTGACTTTATTGCCTGGAAGGATTTCTCGGACATTTTATTTACTGGCGACTCTCGACGCGCAAGCCAGTCAAGTCCGACTCGATCTTGAAAGCACTCGAATGAAGCTTCTTAATAATTTACACGCACCACCAACCGCCCATTCAGCTCCAATTCAGCAACTGAGTGCATTGCGCCATTTGCACCAAATTCATCGTCAACTGTTAGCGGATAAGCTCTTCGTCGATAGGAAGGCGGCTGAGTGGGTTTCAAGGGCAAAGGCCACGGTCCATCGATTCAATTCTGAGTCACGAAATCGCTTCAGCTCCGGCTTTCATTCATCTCATATCGGACGCTCGGGCGGGTCTCTCCCAGCTGCGTTATCGATTCCTGATGTGGCAGTTGAAGGGCGTCAAAGGACAACCCGTTTATCTGGTGCATCTTTGGAAGAGGGTCATGACGATTTTGGACCCTATGGCCGTATGAACTCGGAGTTAACAGGTTCAACCTCAGGGCATCAGAAACGCAGAAGGTTGTCTGGAAGCGGAGATTTCGTGGCACCTGGTCGACCACATCATAGGAGATCAGGTATGTGACTTTACACTCGAGACCCTCTTCCGACTCTATAGCCAGAACTTCTGAACAACCTTTAGCTAAATAAATGGCGGGTAGTGCCACGGTAACGGCCTATAGCCCCCAGCGCCTTTTTTAGCTATTTTGATTGTGCATCATCACATCGCTACTCTATATCGTAGATGGGGGCGCGATTTATGGACGGAGTTCGCAAGCAAGCAATGGGGGAGATGCTTCGGTTGGACGCCCACCTAAAACGTCAAAGCTTCCTCCCGCCGTCGCAGTTGGGGAGTAGACCGTTCACGATTAAGCTGGGATCCCAACAAAAGGGGCGACCGAGAAAATCAGCTGGGGAAGTCGCACCAGGTAATATTCACTGAAGGGAGTCCCAATTTTCGAATGGGTATAAATTGACCAGAGTGTGAATTGTTTTTTGTTTGTTTTTCGCAGATCCTAACGTTCCGATTTCTGGCAAAGGGGCTTCGTTGATCAGCACAACAGTCGAGCATCCAGTTTACGAAACTGAGGAGTACTTTTGTCCCATTTGTAGTAGAAGTGACTTCGAAGATCCCTCTATGGTCGCATGCGACTCGTGCGATAAATGGTATCATTGCCTTTGCGTAGTAAGTCACAATGATCTGCTAAGCGTTTCGAGTGATTGTTTTCCATTTTAGGGGTTCCAAGATCTAGCGGATGCGAGCAGTTCAAAACACTTCTACTGTCCCAATTGTTCTGCAAAGGAGGCAAAACCAGAACGAATATCAGAAACTCCTCCAGCAGCACCAAGTGATTGTGAAGAGTATTAAAATCGGACAATGTTTATAAATATTGATCATCTCGTTGGATCCGCTTGTTGCACATTTTTTTTTGCAAATCCTGAAAACCTTCTGTATCGTCCCAATTTTATAAAAAGAGGCCAAGGTGACTCTGTGCGCGAATGAATCTCCCACGGGTTGCGAAAACTGGACAGAGTATTTTGCGGCCCTTCGGTTCCAATTTATGCCCGAAATTCTTTTCGACGCTTGCTGCGGCGCATGATTCTGGTCCTTCGTTCTCCACACGAAAGCGTTTGCCTTCCTCTATGGTTTGGGCGTCTGGCGCCTTCACAGTTGGAGTTGTTTTGATGTCGGATCGGTCGCCCGCGAGCTGCAAATGGTTTTCAAAGGACGGAAAAAAAGGAAACGAACGAGCCAGCGGTCCAAGAAACAGGACCTCCGATAGAGAATCCAGCCCCTCCTCAGAAAATGACCGAGCACCATGAAAGCGATATTAATCCTCTATGGAGAAGCAAACAAAGCAGACCGTTTGAAAAGAAATTCGAGGAAACGGTAAGAGCTATTGTTTTAGATAGTCGACCGCAAGAGAAGAAGTCTGGCATCTAAAATTCTTCACTGCATCTCAACACTGTGTTAAGATGGTGTGGTCTAAGACATCCTGTTCTTGTCTTCTTGATTTCCAGGCAATTTTCAGTGGCAGTTCAAATTGTCCTTTAGCTGAAAGTATTGCTGACTGTCTGGGGACAAAATTAGGTAAATCATTACCACACCGCTTAGTCTTCGAGCACATGACAATCATTATTTATGGCTACTGGCAGGACCAATCATTATTTGCAACAACGTTTTTATTGATTCTCAGGTCGCGTTCGTCTGAAACGATTTGCAGATGGGGAAGTATCTCTTCAGTTTTTGGATTCTCTCCGAGGAAAGGACGTTTATATCGTTCAAGCGACATCTCCGCCGGCCGTCAATGACCATCTCATGGAGCTGTTATTGATGATTTCAACATCTCGGCGATCGTCAGCAAAAAAAATTACTGCCGTCATTCCCTATTATGGATACGCACGACAGGTGAACACTTTTTTTCAGATTTTTGTTTGCGGTCGTAGTTTTATTAGTTTCGTTTCTAGGATCGAAAACTTTCGTCTCGCGTTCCAATCAGTGCTGCAGATGTCGCAAGGATGATAGAAGCGATGGGTGTGGATCGCGTTATTTCTGTAGATTTGCACTCTGGACAGATTCAAGGATTTTTCGGTCCTCGTGTTCCTGTCGATAATTTAGAGGCCCAGCTGATCGGTACTCGAGTCATTTAATTAAAGAGTTGTAAACCGAATTCCTTGGTCTGATTTCCTGTAGGTTTGGAGTATTTCACTCAAAAGAAGCTTGACCGTCCAGTCGTTGTGTCTCCGGACGCTGGTGGAGTTTATCGCGCGCGGAAGTTTCAAGAAGGCCTTCGTGCGAGGGGAGAAACGGACGCTGGAATCGCGATGCTTATAAAACAGGTAGGAAGTTGCGCGTGTCGGTTTAGAAGAGCTGGAGGGACATTTTCGGCATTGGATATAGATCTGATGGATTTTATGATTTTGTATGATTCCCTTATTTCAGAGGGCACGTGCTAATGAAATCGAAAGGATGGATGTCGTTGGAAATGTTGAGGTCTGATGATCAATTGACAATTTACTTTGATTTTAGTTGAAATGATTCGAATTTGTGGTCATCAATGTTTTCATAGGGGTGTGACGTGATTATTGTGGACGACATGATCGACACGGCCGGAACACTTTGCGAGGCTGCGCATCAATTGCGCAAGTGTGGGGCTAAGCGGGTGTTCGCTTTTGCAACACATGGATTATTCAGTGGACCTGCGCTGCAAAGAATTGAAGAGTCGGTCTTGGAGGAGGTCGTTGTTTCTGATTCTGTGCCGCTCCCTGCAGTAAGCGATCCATCATCAATTGATCCCGCATCCATAAACAAAATCATCATCAATTGATTATCAATTAATTTCAAATTTGATATTCAGGAAGCTCGCAAATCGAATCGGATCACCCAGATGAGCATCGGTGCGTCTCTTCATGGATTCTCTGTCCCAATTCTCTTGTCCCAATTCTCTCTGTTCCATTCTTCTTTCTCTATTTTAGCACCACTCATCGCTGATGCTATTCGGAGAATTCATCAAAAAGAATCTTTGGAGCAGCTTTTTATTGCAAAATCCGAATGAACAAACAGGCTGTTATTGTGGCCACCACTATTTTTTTCCTCCATAAATCGCACAAGAATCACGTTAAGATGTTCGTGGTGCATAAAAAGAGTTACAAAGAAATCACGTCTACCAAGATTCCAAATGCATGCTACAAAAAGAGTCTCTATCATAAAAAGAGTTGATTAAAAAGAGTTGCAAAACCAGTGAAGAGTCGCATAATGGAAGAAAAAACAAAAAAACAACGAACTGTCGCATGGGGAGTAGTTAATAGAACACTTATAAAATATCGGTCGCAGATCCCAACCTGCTTGAGGTGGTCGCCTTTGTCTTCTTGGTAGCTTGAGGTTACGCTAATAATGGAAATTCAGACTCATCCCAGCAGACCTGCGAGTGAGAGATGTCCAACTAGGGGCGCGATGTGCCCTGAGCACTCATTTGACTTCGGTTTCGAAGGGTCTTTTGGCTTTTGGCACATCCATGCTTTTTCGGGATCAGCAGCGCAATACTGGGAAAACTTGCAGCTGTAGGAACACGCATGGGTGACACCAATTTGAACGGGCGGTGGAACGACGATGTTGTAGTCCAGTCTAAAGAACATGATTTTGAGCTCGAGGTTAATGAATTGGTCATTAAAGCCCATGTAGTTGTCAGGCCCGAACAGAGCCATGGTATCAAGCTGCAAAAATAATCAAGATGACATTGAATCAACCAAACGTGATGCTCGCAAGGCTTAAGCCCTAGGGATCAAGACATACTTCAAGAGTGTTCGGATTATCGTGGTAGAAATCAGGCCCCCCGAGACTGTTTCTTACTCCGCTACAGCGTGGAAATCCTGCTTTGTACTTTGCTCCGCAGGGCGAGTATGCGATAGGATCCAAATCAAAGACGATTCCGCGGTTGTTCACTGTTGATCGATACCACTCAGCGCCTGCTTTATTTAAGACATTAGGGGCTGCAAACGTTGCGCCGTGGATTGTCAGCGCATCCCCGTAGTGGTGGACGAGACGCATGCCAACGAGAATCGACATCCCAGCACCCAGCGAGTGGCCAGTGACATAGACTTCATGACGGCCACACGGCTCCTCAAGGAATTCATTCATGGCGATTTGAAAGGATGACCAGGTTGACGATAGAAGCTGGGTGAAACCTCTGTGAGCCTCCACTCCATCCTTGAGGAATGCAACGAGATATGTATCGAGATTTAGATCCCACTCAAATTGATTGGATGTTGGACGAATTGTTATCAGGCGCTGGCATTTATTCTGTTCTGTGATATGCAGAGGTTTGGCGATGGCGGCAAGAGGAATGTCTGGGACTTTTGTTGAGGCTTGCACGGGGAGAGCCGTTTGGGACATATGTGATCACGTGGGTGATGCCCCATCCTGGCATCAGGTCCTCCGCAGGGGTGGAATTGCCACAGAAATAGTTGTGAGTGATGTAGCTTGAAAGTACAGAAGATGAACGATAGAGGAAAAAAAGGGAAACTCCATCTTCGTCGAGATCGATCTTGTCATCAGGAGAATTTCCACGAATGTCTCGAAAGTTCAATTCGATCGATTCAGTTCCGTTGAGAGGAATGTCCCTTTTACCGTTTCCTTGAACGCAAGTTGGGTAGTTGTCTTTCATGGGTAGCCAAGTCTTTCGCGGTTCAGCTGCGCAGTCGTGAGACCATGTATCTTCGCGACACGCAAGAACAGAAGTCACAACATTGACGAGGGCACAAGTCGGTTGTTGGTACATCGAGTCATGCGTCTTCCCGTAGTCCTGAGCCTCGCAAAATGCCTCCAGAAGATTTTTTAACGGAGAGATCAGTGAGCCCGCGGGAGTTTGGGGGTTTCGGTTGCTTTCCTCTTCCCGGTCCGATAATCGACTTGAGGAAGTGAGTACCAGTTAACGAGGATAGAAGCAGTAACGGCTTTTCGAGTTTTTGCATCAGAGATTTTTCTTGTTTTGGCGCAGAAGCTTGCAGCGCCCTTTCTTGTGCCGCAGCAGCAACAGCAGCGAAGACAAGTTCTTCTGAGTTTCCACCCGCAGCGTTAACAGCAGCTTTTAGCGTTTCCGCATCTTCCGCACCCGCAGCGTTAACAGCAGCAGCAAATTGAGGAAGAGCAGCTGCTGCCAATACAACGTTAGCCAAATGCGCTGGACGATCTCCGAACATGTGCTTGAACACCGATGCGTCCGTCTCGCCATAATGACGAATCTCCATCTCGTGCGATGAGAGGTTAGCAGGAGCGGCGTAAGTTGCAGATGCAGCGAGACTTGCAGGCGCGGCGAAGTTTGCAGACTTTCCCATCATGCCTCCGAGGAATCCGAGATCATTGGGGTCGACATTAAGACTTTTAGCCACAGCGCCCATCACGCCGTCTTTGCACCACTCAATCCCATTGGTAGCCCCCCACGTCTGTTTGTTTGACGTTAGAATAACAGGGGACTGACATTGGCCAATCGCACAAAAGGCGAAAAAAAATAACCAAAAACAAAAGACGGTTGGGTTTCATGACAACAAATTTGACGGCTCAAACTGAGAAGATTGCTGCTCGCAGGCCTATGGATTGGGGCACGACATGCACATGCGTCTTGTTAACGCGCCTGAAGTCCGTTTCAGGTCAGTTGTATCAAGAATTGTGGAGATAAAACCGTGTTCGCTTCCAAAGAAATACAAAAGGCTGAGAGAACCCTCCTCAAATGTAGCCTGTCTTGAATCGAGACGCGTCCCAAATGGGGAGGCCGTCAACTCCACCACATGCAGTCCACACAAATCCGTTGCCTTTTCTCTAACGGTGGCATGCTTTATTTTGTAGTATTCATCTTCGCCGTTCTTCAAAGGCAGAAGTGCGAAGGGATTAAGGAGACTCTCCCTCAGAGAACTCGCCGCAGTCTTGATCAGAATGTTATGCCCCTGGGATTGGCTCCCCGGGCGAAACAGACCGAGGTGTTGCCAGCATGGGAGCTAGATGAGCACTTCAGGTGGAAGGGGGTGGCGAGACAGCAGGCTGGGAGAAGCAATCCAGGAGGTTGAAAGCAAGAGTAAGATCCTTCGTGAAAGATTTTGCGGGAAATTAACGATACAGCTGGAAGAATCTATTCGAAAATATGAAGAAATTGAAGAACTTAGTGCAAAAATAGGGGCGTATTTGAAATTAAATTATGATGGGAACCAGAGGAACTCAGAACTCATGAAGTTTAAAGCAGCAGTCGAAGAGAAATTGGCAAAGTAAGTTGCTCTGCGTTGTGCGTTCATAGAAGGATTGAAAATTGTCAGGATCGATGCGGACCACATCACGGTATACAAGAACGAACTGTCTAACCTTCATGACGATGAAATTGAAGTTCAGATGACATCCACGCTGAAGTTTTACGAGCCATTTATCAGAAACATGAGAAAAATGCGCCCACATCTTTTGTCTCCAGCCGTCGAGAGAGCCTTGACTTTGAGAGAACCCTGGGCCTCATCGAGACCTGTTGTCGCTTTCTATCAAAAACAGCTTTCCCTTGCTATGTTCGACTGGAATAATAGTCAAATGAACTTGGGGCGTGTAAGTGTCTTGACCCCAGGCTGACAATAATGGACAATATCGGATGGGATGCAAACTGTTTTATACCCCTGATTGTTTTATACCCCTGATTGTTTTATACCCCTGATTGTTTTATACCCCTGATTGTTTTATACCCCTGATTGTTTTATACCCCTGATTGTTTTATACCCCTGTCTTCATTTCATCAGCTTGTTTCGTATCTTCACCACCATGACGTCAGAGTTCGTCGAGAAGCAATGAGAACTCTTAACAAGTGAGCGTTCGTTTTGTTTCCATCTTTTCAGTACCGAGCCTTCAGTGGCGCAAAAATCCAACGCTTGCATCTATTTGCAGCTCTGTCACTCAATCTGGTTTCTGGTTCGTGGCAAATAGAAACCCAAGAAAGGGATTTCAAAGTGCGTTTTTATTTCTTCTTGGATTAAATTTTTTTTTTCAGACTGCCCGTTCACGACGCAATCTTCTCAATGACATTCCAGATGATGTTGTTGCGTCCCTATTGGAGGCAGTCAAGTCTGACGGTGTTGCATTAGCGCGGCGCTATTTCTTGTTGAAGAAAAAACTGCTCCAAAGAGAGAACGGATTACAAGTACGGTTTGTTAGGCTTTGAATCTCCAAGTTCGAGTGGAGAGACGACTATTGTCTTTATTTCCAGAAATTCACGTGGGCAGACCGTAACGCTCCGTTGGCTCTTAAAAGTGGGGAGAAAAAGTACTCTTGGGATGACGCCGTTACAATTGTCGCGAATGGCTACAACCGATTTTCTCCTGAAGTCGGAAAGCTGTTCCGTCGCCTGGTTGAAGAAAAACGCATTGACGCCGCGCCGCGTTACGGAAAGAGAAGCGTCGCTTACACGCTTGGCATTCCTCCGAGAGTTGGCCCGTTCCTGTTGATGAACTTTGTGGTACGATAATTAAGCTTGTGAAAGCTTTTAGTCAGAAGCAGTTAAAGGGTCACTTAGAGATATTTAATTTCGCCGAGATGGTCAAGCCCACAATGTACTCTTGTATAACCTTCGTTTCATCCTAAGGGAGTACGCAAAGATGTCCTTACTTTGGCACATGAAAGTGGTCATGGCGTTCATTCCTTGCTGTCTAGCGAGCAGGTAAAAAAACCGCAACACATGCGCTCACACTCTTGCGTCAACAGGGAATGCTTCAACGGCCAACTTGTCACGCTCTGGCTGAAATTGCATCGCTGTTTGGGGAAATGATAGCGTCCCAAGAAATGATGACAAATTGCAAGAATGATGACGAGCGTCTTGAGATGCTGTTGGATCAACTCGACAGATTTATGCACACAGTTGTTTATTCCGCAGCACTGGATCGATTTGAAGAGCTTGTGCATACAGCGCGCAAGGGGGGGTACCATAGACGATTCGAAATTCGACGAATATTGGAAGATTGCGATAACGTGAGTCTGTGATCGTTGGCTTGCTATACACATTGAGTCAAGTATACACATTCCCACAAGTATACACAT